TCTACACGTGGTATTTATTTCAAAAACTTACCATAAAGTGTTTTTTTAGCCTGATTAAACCAAAAATTCAAGTTTGGTATACTTGAACCGGTTCAGCCTCCTTGAACCGGTTCAAGGCTTCAAGATTGGCTCGAAATACAATCTGCCAAACTTGAACCGGTTCAGCCCCTCTGAACCGGTTTAAGAAGTCTTATTCACGGTATAACTTCAGTTTCCTTTTTCCCAATTTCTTTCCTAGTTGGTTTAGAACTATACCAAATCCTATGCACGAAATTTTTCATATTTTCAGAGGGATTAGGTCATTCTAAACTCTATATAAACCTTGTCATACACACCGGTTTATTCACGACTTTTGTATAGAAAATTCAAAATCTAATTGAGAGCCTTTTTAAGAGATATTTTTTTTATTCATTCAAAAAATCAATCTAATTTTTTTGATTTTATTTTTTAGAGCACACACATAAACACAAGAGTGATTTAGTAGTGGTGTTCTCTATCTCATTGGAATTGAAGCATAATTGAAGATTCCGAAATTCCGGAAAAGCAGAATTCATTCGTTCTTTGTCAAATTCAAACCTAGAAGAAAAGGGGTGAAGCGATCACACTTTGAAGGGGTCAGAGCATTCATGGAGTGTTGTCTGATCTACCTGCAACCCATCTACAAAGATCGAGAGTAAGCCTGAGGTTGAGAACTATTGGACTGGGGTGTCGCAAAGTCAAGGATTGTCAGCAATTGGTTTTTGGTAGAACGATAGGATGTGAGACTGAGTCAAAGTTCGGTATACTTTGCTTCAAACATAGTGGATCGTTTATCTCAGGACTGGAGAGTCCAACGAGGTTTTTCCTATTACAATTGGTCTATTCTACCAATTGGAGTTTCCTCGATAAAATCCTGATCTCATCTCTCAAACTCTATTTATTTTACTTGCACTTTATTTTTGCTTTGTGGTTTGATTTTAGTTTTATTTCAATAAAATTAAAATAAGTAAAAATTGGATAAAAGAGCAAGTTAAATATATTTATTATCCTCTAGATTACCTATCCATATTATATTCCACAACCATTCTGTTGCGCACACTCAACAAGTATTAAGAAGGAGTATGATTTTGTATCATATTTTGGTAAAGGCGTCTTTGTGTAATGAGATGGTTCAAAACGATGTATATAATGTAGAACTGAAAAAAAGTACTATAATACACAATGGAGTTTTTGTTTCTTACTTGGATTAAAAACACATTTATCGATATCTATATCTATATTTATGTCTATCTATACTTATATAAATGATACATTATTTATTTATTTATTCATTATTTATAGGGTAAAGTGTAAAAAAAAAAAAAAAATTAAAAGAATTAAAAATCCTAAACTATGTTTGAATTTGAAAATAATCCCCCTTAGTTATATTTTGTGCATATTACACCCTAAACTATCACATTATGTTACAAAATACCCCAATGCCCATACTATACTTCATTAAATGACCATAATGCCCTTCTTATTGAATTATACTTAATCTATTTTTCTTATTTAAATAAATTATGAAAAAAAAAAATCATACTAATTTGATGACATATTCTCCATTAAATTTGCATAAATTTACCTTTAATTTTTGAAATTAATTATTTAAATAAAATCCTTTTGTAAAATTTTTTTAAAAAATTTAATTAATATTTTAATTTGTAGTGAATATATTACATGAAAAGAAGGTATTTTTTTATTAATTTTTCATCAATATATTGTATAAAAAAAAAAGATATTTTTTTACGATAAAAAAGTTTAAACTGGTTATAATATTATTAAAAATTATACAATTTTAATAATAAGTTAATCATTTCATAAATTAAATGGAAGTTACAAATCTATTTATCTTTTTTTTTTCATTTTTATGATGATATGATGAATTGATATTAATAATAGAACTAAGGTAAATATTATAATTAATATTTAGATAAGAGAAAAGATAATAAAAAAATTTAATAAGAAATGAAATTTTTTATTAGAAACAGTAAAATAGTTTTTTTTTGTGATGAGTTTGTCCTTAATTGCAACAAATCAATAGTTCAAGGGATTATTTGTAAAACGGCAATATAAAAATATCTGAAATATATACACTCTAGAAAACAAGATTTGATATTTTTCCACAGTTGGTTCAAAATTCAAATGCATGTAAAAATCAAACGACTGATCTAATTTCTTATATATAAAAAATAAAATTTCACATTCTACACACACAAGTATGCTGTTATTGGGGGACCGACTTGAACAACAATATAAAAAGTTTCAAGAATGAAGAATTGAATATATAGCATGTTAGATTTACCGAACTCTCAAGCTAGCTTTCTCTCCTCCTCTCTTTCTGTCACACGGTATCAATTTCAGTCCCCTCTTCCCTTCTCAAAATGCTTTTCTTTTTTCCATTCTCTTAGCTCTTTCTTTATTCCTCCTTTCTCTCCCTTTCTCTTCTTTTTCTTTTCTTAACCTTATTTATCTTTCTTTTTCTTCCTCTAATTTGTTGTAACCAAATCTTGTGTGGCCTTTTCTCCTCCAATATAAATATTTTCACATTTCTGTACTAAAATTACTATAATCTTAACTATCTACCAAGTAACGTGTAAAGAGAAAAATTACTTAAAAGGGTTCAATAAATATATACACACACTCTGTTAGCTACTGCATAAAAGAGTATTAGTAATATAAACGTGTGAAGTAGTCTAGCCAACAAAAGCTACACCATATTATATACTGAGCAAGATACCAAGGGAAATGCAAGATAAAAATGAACAACATAGTGAAACCTTAATTTGTTGAAGAAGAAGAAGAGAGTAAGGGAGGATTACCTGATCGATGGATCTCCACGTCCGACTACTTCACTTTAAATCAATAGTGAGTTTTGCTCTCACGCTCCGTGCACCTTCAATATTCTGAATAAATATGATATTGGCAAGACCTTGGTGTTATAAATATTTGATAATCTGGAGGATGGAAACTTGCATCGAGCAAGAGAATGAGCCCATTTCCATCACAGATCATTGTTCATACTAGTTGCTGATGTATATATATATATATATATCGAAGGCATAGATGCACGTACCATTTTTAAATTGGAATAGATTTGCTTGCATCGACACTTCTCATGTTCACACCGTCCCAGGTTCCAACCTGGTAGACTGCCCATGTAGTTTTTTTTGGGGGTGGGGGCTAGGGGGTTTGTTTAACTAGTTGTCTCGGGTGACGAAGTGCTTGTTCACACCACAGTAATCAAACTTTGAAATGAAAATTGCCAATGTTTAATTATTACACTATTAGAATTTTATATAAACAAATGTTCCCATTTAGTAGAGAGGAGGTAATGAGAGAAGAGAAATGATTTACAAATTTTTTTTTCTGATGAACCAAAGACAAAAAAGAAGAAAGACAAAGCTATATAAATGTTTTTAAATTACAAAATTTTTCTTATAATTAACACAGATAAGGTATTGCCTTATTTTATTTTCTTCTATTCAACCAAACAAAAAGCGAGAATGACACAATATATTCTCCCTTTTTTTTTCTCTCTTCCATCTTACTTGCCAGACGAAACAAAAGACTCGAGCCATGATAGAAATGAGAAATTATTAAAAAGTCCAAAATTATGTGATTCTGACCAATCACAAACTATCACGTAATTAAATATATCAACCTTATTCAGTTATTTGTGATTGGTTGGAACCATTCCTCTATGAGTAGAAGAGCATATTGTTTTAAGGTAAATACTGTGATTACACAATCACACATATACAATCCTCCCCCTCCTCGGCCTTGGAGTCAAGTCTGAATCTACTTGACCATATTTTATTGGCCTCCTTAGGATTAGATAAGATTAGTATAAACCAAGTTACGCTAGTGTATGTAGGATGAAATATTTACGAGAAATTTTTTTTTTTTTTTTTTTTTTTATTAACACTAATATTATTCTATAAGTTGGAGAACAAATAATTTACAAGAAAGTTCCACAACAATACTATTCTATAAGTTGATGAACATAAAATTTGAAGGAAAATTCAAGATTTTATTTGGTTCAAATTTGTTTTTTAATACAAAAATATTGATATATTTGACTGTATAGAATTAGATAGAATTAGAGTCTTAAAATTGATGAAATTTAATTTTCTACAATTCTAAACTAAATTTTTTTTCAATTTCAATTTTAATGCTCCAATTTTACGTAACCAAACATAACCAACTTTATTTAGTTACTTTTAGAAGGAAAAAAAAATCGTAATTCTCTAAAAATAATTTTCTATTAAATAGTAAATTATTTAGTTCAGGTCCTAAATAGGATTGCTAATTTGCTAGGAACAAAATTGAACATATAAAATTGAATCCTTCGTGAGGGTCCCACAATGGGTCTCACCCATTGATTCAATAAATGAAATTGATCCCATGTGACAATCCACTGCTTATAATAATAGCATAGTTATTCTAATTTACTATTCACCTAATTTATACATTTCGATAACACACTACATACCGATATAAATGAACCTAAAAAATAAATAAATAATAAAAAATTTAGAAGTAATGACATTTGCATTGCCCAAAAGCATTGTCACACCACACTCGGTTTTTTTCTAGAAAAGAAAACAATACAATTATACGGAGTACTTAAAAAGAAATATCATACTCCATTTTGTTGCTTCATAAGCTATAGAGTGTGGTCACTGTGGTATGGATAACACTGTCCCTTATAATTTTGAAACAAAAGTGCAATTCTAAAATCATTTTAACCTATTAATGCTTGAATTGTTTTATATTAAAATTATGTTATAAATCAGAATTTCATTCAATTTACTCGGGGATAAAATGCACACAAAAAAAGAAAGAAAAAAATAATAATAATAATAATAATGATAATAATAATAATAAAAACCCTATTATATGCTCTATCACTGGCAACTAGTAGTTCAGTCCACCTCATATTGAACATATCCACTCGTTGATCCACTATGAAAAAAATATAGGGAAATGATGCTGACCTTCATTGGAGTTTACTGCAAATTGAAATTTTCTAAAAATCATTACACAAACCTCTACTCTACTTTGAGGAATTAATCAAATAGTTAACCATCTAAATTTCCAGTATAGCAAACCCTAAAAAAACTTTTAAGGGAATCTAAATAATAATAGCTCCAAACCGCAAAATCAACCATTACAGATACGATTAACTGTTGCAGCAGCTAACACTGCTCCCCACAAATAATGTTACCCGAGGAGATGTGCAAAACTGATTCTTTGATCCGCATGAAATGCAAAATTCAACCCAAAAGCCAAGTTACATGCCGCAATGAGCATAAGCACAACTGTGAGTGTTTAATCCTATTCTCCTACTGCCAACCCAAATCCGAACTTGTAATCTTTCTTACAATGATCTATCTGCAACATATAATGTTGGAAGTTAGTAAGAATAAGGTCACAGCGAGGAAACTAGTAAAAGAACGTCAAGCACACGTTAGTTCTCACCTCTGCAGAAAGAATGAAATTAAGACCCATATTTAATCGCTCTTCCAGGAAAGCAGACGTGCAGCCATTGGAATCGACCTTCCCTCTAAGGCGACACTGAATATACATAACAGTAAATCAACCACAATAATAATTACTTGAAATTCTACTTTTTTGCAGCAAAAACATCAAACTGGGTATGAAAATCTAGCATAATATCATCTGCAAAGTAGACTTGGGAATTTCGTAGCAACAAAACCTTCAAAAGACTCGACAAGAAGGAATAACATTGGCCCCTTTTCTGCTAGTATTTCTAAGAGGTAAAGAGCCATATTAACTGTTAACATTCATAATGACAAAAACTACAATAATGTGATTGACGTCAAGAACAAGATTCATAAACAAACCAGATGAGAAATTAATTTACTGCTAATTGTCTCAATCTTCCTAGATAAAAACACTTCATAGCCTAAATACTCAGATTTTGTTTTAAAACGAAACAACAAAGCATAGTTTACTATCATACTTCAAATTTTTCTTTAGGTATCGGTAGGGGTGGCGAAAATCCCCAACTCGGCGGGGCCCGCCCCGTTTGGGGCGGTTTTGGAGAACCGATTATGTAAATGGGGACAGGGATGGGGGCTGCTTAGAAAAACCCGGCGGGTTTTGGGACGGTTATGGGAGTGAAAAAATAAACAAGGATGCGGATGGGGAATGAGATCCCCGCCTTTAGCTATCAGAAGCATAGAATAGTTCATCAGGTTTGCCAATAAAAGCCTTAATGATAAAGCCACGGCACATACAAAGATGCACCTGCAATAGTTAGCATAGTTTTTACTCCAAGAGCTATTAACTTTTCTAAAACTAACAGTATATTTCTTATAGAACACTTCAAAGACTGAAGAACCATCTTTTAAATGATTCGCTGTTCTCAATACAACATCGACCAAAAATTAGGTCCTAAAAATACATAAATTGCCTCAAAATAGAAGTCATTTGTAGGTAGATCCGGAATTCCCTGCTCACAATAGCTATGCGGTTACAGTTGCTAAATGGACAAATACTAGAAGTCTAGAACCTGGGGCAAAGTTGGTTATTGGCCAAGGTAAAAAGGCACTTGTTGGACCTGAATGAATATCACCTAGCATTTGAATGCCTGCCCCAAGCAGGACTAATCTGGACATATTCAAAACACTTTGGTAGTGCTCCTGGATCAGAATCAAAATAATGAATCCCTACTCATCATCGTCAAGGTTGAAGATCTTGTTTGGGCAAGCCAATCTCAAGCTCAGCTAGCTATAGTTCAACAAAAATAGGGCTCGACTTGAGTTCTTTTTTTCCTTTTCTTTTTCCAAATCTAAGAATGCTGTATATACATATATTTTATTTATGATATCTATATAATTATGCTAACATATAGATACATTAATCTCTCCCGGTGGAGAGGGAATAGAATTCCTAGCAAAGGTTGCGGTGTTGGGTGACACAAGGGCGGGTGGGTACCCAAGAAAAATGGACCGTTTGGCTCAAGCATCAAACTTGATGAACTAGCCTTTATATAAGTCCAACTCGGTCTTTTACTAAACAAGCCTTAAAAATCCGTCATACCAACTCCGCCCCTATTCTGAGACAGGTTTGTAGGGTTTAGCCAAACCTACCCCAACTCCGGCCTGTTGCCATCCCTACATCAAGGTTGGAGATCTTGTTTGGGCGAGTTTCATCTAGCCAATCTCAAGCTCAGCTAGCTATAGTTCAACAAAAATAGGGCTCGACTTGAGTTCTTGTTTTCCTTATCTTTTTGCAAATCTAAGAATGTTGTATACAGATATATTTTATTTATGATATCTATATAATTATGCTAACATATAGATACGTTAATCTCTCCCGGTGGAGAGGGAATTGAATTCCAAGCAAAGGTTGCAGTGTTGAGTGACAGAAGGGCGGGTGGGTACCCAAGAAAAATGGACCTTTTGGCTCAAGCATCAAACTTGATGAAATAGCCTTTAAATAAGTCCAACTCGGTCTTTTACTAAACAAGCCTTAAAAATGAGCTTGAGCCCAATTCGTTTACTCAATGAACTAACAAGAACTGAGCATCACTTTGTTCACAAACAATTCAATTCATTTGCAGACCTACAAGGCTATAAAGTATTACAAAATAGCATGTCTTAGTCTCTTAGATAATTTTGCTTTAACAGAAGAATAAACATATATGATATTTATTTTTGGGGAAATATGAATGTAAATGCTAGTAGAATAACAGCATAAATTTGAATGAACATAGTTGCCATCAAAACCACCTATTTTTTTTCAATTAGACAACAAAATTGCAATGTGGCACATATTCAGTAACATTGCCAAATTCAGCAATCAATAATTTTTACAAGGCCAAACAAAAGAAAACAAATACAATCAAAGGCTAAGTCTGCAAATAGAGTGAGCTGTTTGTGAATAACTCAGGGCTCCTCTTAGAAAGCTAAGTTTGTGTTCATTTATTAAGTAAATGAGCCAAATTGAGCGAACTTTTTAGGCTCATCTAGCGAACAAACCAAGCCCAAATATTGTCAGGCTTGGCTCACACAAGCTTATGAAAATAGACATAAAAGCTAGGCTCATTAAACCCAAATTTGTTTCTTCAATCTCTCCAATTTTTTTCTCCCATCTAATCTCTATCCCCTCAGAAGTTCATTATCTCTCTGTCTTCTAGTTACGATACACCTATGATCATTGAAGATCAGTCTCTGTCTCATTTATCTTGTCCAAACTTAAAACTCTCTCTAATCTCTTTTGTTTAACCAAAGTGTCTCTTTCAATAGAAGAAGCAAAGGGGAAGCTCTCTCACCTCTTAGAGGACATAGCATATAAAACGAGGCAAGATCTAGGTGTGTATATCTATTACTGTATCTCTCGTGTGTGTGTGTGTGTGTGTGTGTGTGTGTGTGTGTGTGTGTTATTTCTTACTCTGTCTGTAAATGTATCTTTTTTCAAAAATAGTTAACTCTAGAATATAAATGTGTAACATCATTATGTATCTATAAATTTGAAAAGGAAAATAAGAGAAAAAGCTCAAGTTGCCACACGGCCCAAGCACAAGCTTTGGTGAACAATGACAACCAAACAATTCAAACCTGAGATTTGATAGGTCAAGCTCATTCGAACACAATCCGAGCTCGATAACCTCTCCAACCTTAATGAGCAGAGCACAAACATTTCACCCGAGAGTTTGGCTAAGGTTAGCGGAACAGATTTTGGCTCAGCTTCAACCTAGGATGTAAGCCAACCGAACTACCTTGCGTTCCCCTTCCCCAGCAGAAAAAGAAAACTCTTGAAGAAAGCTATTTGATAAAACTGTAGAGATCGGCTCAGCTCAGTTCATTTGTTGTCCTACCAAAGGCATTTTGGCTAGCATCCACTTTTCTTCTAACATTACGCTAGACACGAGAATCAAAAGATAATGATCAATGTCGTTCTTGTGTTTTTCTTCCCTTGTTTATTACCATCTGCTGCAGCTAGTGGAGCTTCGGTGCACTTATTGTTCTTCCATTTAAATTATTCTTTGTTCTCTCATCAGTAAATGTTTCTTACAAGGAAAATTTAAATAACTAAATAAGAGTTTCTATTGGAACAAGAAGGTGAAACATTGAAAACCATCGATATCAAGAAATGTGTAAATCGGAAGCAGGCACTCATTGTTCACCATGTAGCTACTCAAAAGAATAGAGAAAGATTTGGTTCGCCAAAGAACACAATGGCATGTTGCACAAGAAATAGGATTAAGCCTTCAAAGGTGAAGTATTGAAAACCATCGATATCAAGAAATGTGTAAATCGGAAGCAGACCCTCATTGTTAACCATGTAGCTACTCAAAAGAATAGAGAAAGATTTGGTTGGCAAAAGAACACAATGGCATGTTGCAAAAGAAATAGGATTAAGCCTTCAAAGGTGAAGCATTGAAAACCATCGATATCAAGAAACGTGAAAATCAGAAGCAGACCCTCATTGTTCACCATGTAGGTACTCAAAAGTATAGAGAAAGATTTGGTTGGAAAAAGAACATAATGGCATGTTGCACAATAAATAGGATTTAGCCTTCAAATATGCGTACAAGTGGAAAGAAAGAGAGACTCAATTATAATTCTTCAAGATGAGATTTCAACAAATTTGGTACAAAACTAACTACTCGCAATTTATTGGTACTCAAAGAGATTTTTAGCCCACTTAGATGGTGACATCCTCTAACAGCACTGAGGTGAAAGTCACTGGATAACCATTTTCACAGTAAAGGAAGAAATGTTATTAACACGTGATACACCTCATAGGCTATAAAAAACAAATAGTTGGAATAGGCAGGCCTGTTGGCTCAGTTTTTGTATCTTGTACACATACTTGAGTGAAATAAATTGTATGTCATGGATTAACAATCAAGAATGTTAACTAATAATCAAACATACTACAATCATGAACGAGAGAATGTGCAAATATTTACATGTCACGGATATCAAAAAAGTTCAATTGCAGGAGTTACCTGTCGAAGGATGTAATCATAACCAAAGCTTGCTGTGACATCTCTTGTCATGTAGTTGTACATGAAGTCTGCTGCCAGAGAAACCTACATGGAAGAATAGTGTAAGAAATCTGTTTAAAAAACAAACCAATAAACAACTTGCACTGTTTTACCTTCTCACATATTTTCTGTACGTAGCTCAGAGCAACCATTCCAGTGCTAGCAACTTGCCCCGTGGCAACCTGTAGGGAAAAATAAGAATTCTATTTTGTTATATAAGAAACCACATAAGTACACAGAAAAATAAAATTGCTTCAATCAATCATCAATTATTCATGCTTGCCACAATCAGAATCACTAAAACTACACCTCAACCCCACCCAAAAAAAAAATATAAGAATATAAAATTAAATAAAGAGGAAAATAAAAATACATCATAAAAACATTTATTGCCTCCAAAAAAGAGAAGGATCAGAGCTGTATACAAACAAATAGACAAAACAAAATTCGTGAATTACTAAGTGCCCATCTGGAAGCCGTTTTGTTTTCAGTATTTGGAAATACAACAAAAGAGAGTCCTCTCAGTATTACAGAATCTGGCTCCAAACAGGGGCTCAAAACATAGGAAGACCAATATGGTGTCTTGCTTTGGAAAATAGTGAAAAATGAAAACATAAACGGAAGGAAGAAAAAGAAGAACAGAAGCCCCCGCCCTACAGACTTTGTTAGCCACAAAAGAAGAGGCTTCAATCTTTTAACTTAAAAACCCCAAAACCCTAGTCCTCCTCCCCTTTTTACCCAAAAAATAAATAAATAAATTAGAGGCCCATTCAATGGGATCATACAACTTAAATTTCAATAGAGAGAAGGGATCGCGAATTAGTTAATTTCTCCGCTGAGAAAAAATTTGCACATTGACTTTTACAAGCATTATTTCGGACAAACTGTAAACACATTTTTAGACTATAAAGCAGACCAAAAGTGCTCCAATTATTTTTTTAATAGGAAAAAAATCCTATACGTTCCAGTTAAAAGCTATCCTATCTCATAGAGCCTTCATCCATAAAATCCTTTTCATGCATGCATAAATTTCTTCATCCAGCATGCGTAAGGAACATTGACCCATTGAGAAATACTGATTTAAACCCTTTTCCGTATTAACACGTGAATATATTGGACAAAAAAAAAAAACTTTGATTAGAAACGCAGATCAATCTGAGGTAAAAGAAAGAACTCAAGCCAGAGTGCATAGCGGATCATAATCCCTTTCACAGGTCTAATTATGATCTGCAACAAATGCATGCCCAAACAATATACAACTTCAGATTGTACACCAATGTTGGCCTACAACTTCAGCTTAAATAATTGATATTATCTCAATTCAATTCAGTATTAACCAATAACAACTAATATACAGATAAATAAGAGGAAACAAAGAGCACTTTGAAATGGCATGAAATTCAAGTCATGGTACGCACCATCTTATCTGTGTTGTATCGAGCAGCATAACCAATACCAGATTTGCGATGCTGACCAGTCCAGAATACTTCGCCACCCAAAGAAAAATGTGGTGTCACACTCTGCAGGCAAATAAGCAGTTTCGTAAAACATCAATAAAAATTTGCATAAATTATTATGCGATTTTCTGCTTCTCACCAAGAGAGAGGGAGAGAGTGAAAAGGATGAAGGGAGAGGCAGAGGAAGGAGAGTGCCTTAATTTAAATCAATATTATCAATAAAAAATAACAGGTATTTCAATAGGTGTTGCATGAAAAAAATATATATATCCATAAATACTTGAGGTTTTCCCAATAAATAATGTGTTACCAACTTTCACAATAATTTGGCAAGATAATGTAGACGACTTGCACAATCAACATTTCCATAGAGTGTGAATATATGTGAGTGGTGCTTTGGGTGCAAGGGGAAGACTGGAAGAGGTTGTCATCACCAACGTATCTAGAAATGTCTTCCTCCCGGAACTTCGCAAAAAGTCCAACTACCCCATACTTTATCATTTGGTAACAACAAAATATTAAACTTCCTATGTAAAGATGAAAAATATGTGGTCGTTGCTGCTTTGAGACTCAGCCTGTCCTAAGGTGTCCTCTTTTTTTCCGTTTCAGTTAACAAGTTTCAAAGAAGCACTTCATTAGTTTAAAGAGAAAGTATTGAGCCTCGGGCCATTGGCCTAGGTGGTCAGAGCTCTCCTCCCCGAAGGAGAGGTCAACAGCTCGAGTCCCACATAGGGCAGTGTGGTGTGCCTGAGTGTGTGCACGTGTTGTTTAAAAAAAATAAAAAATAATGAAGAGATCAGGTGTTGCTATAGTCTGACTAACCTGAACCGGAATTTGAAAAGAGTCTATGTGTGTGTATATATATATTCTAAGTAGAGAATTCGAAAAAAAAAAAAAAAGATTTTGTTTGCCTGAATTGGACAACCAGAAGCCAACTCCATTTTTAAGTTGGATGGATTTCCATTTAAGGATGGACTTTCAGGTCTACAATATATGTATCAATTTTAATCCTGAAAAGTATATGTCATGCAATAATCACAAATCCATCAGCACAGATTATATGTTCTCAAATTTTTTGTGAAAGTTTATCAGAAAGGAGGGGGAGATTTTTTTACCTGCATGTAATTGGCTCCAAATAAGGCACCGTTCCCTAGTTGAAATTGGGTCCTAAAATCTTTACCCTGTATTTATTAAAAATAATAAAATAAGACAAACTGAGGGAATAAAGATCTGGATTGAATTACCAGCAAAAAAGAGCCTTACTGATGTGATTCGACATTTCTTAAGTAAAGAAACAAAAGTATCGGATACATCAACTACATTGTCCAAGAAAGTAAAACAACACACATGTAGAGAGAGGGAGATTAATAAGTGCGAGTATTGACCTTGTAATCAAAATTGAACATGCCATGCGACATGTGCGGCTCATTTGTAAGCTGGAAAAGATATTAAAAAAAAATAGAAATAATCAACTAGCTTACTTATGTACATATACTGTCAGTTCAAAACAAAAAGGAAAACCGAGAAGTCCAACAAAATATGACAATTAACATATGTGTACTTGAGCATTGGCCTTCAGAGTAAGATTCTCGGACAGATCACACTTGACTCGAGCATTTAACCTCCCATCTGTCATCAGTCTCCCAAAAAGCATCAACTGCAGGCACCATTAATTCTCACATAATTAGATTGACATGAAGGGAATAAATCCAATGGGATCCATTAATTCTCACATAATTAGATTGACATTCATACATAAGAAGGGAATAAATCCAATGGGATGCTACCAACCTTTGGGTCTATAAAGTTAGCACCAAATTCATAATGAGCAGTGGGAATCTTAATGGCCTCGGTAGACTGAGAAGGAATTTCTACGGGTCCCATGAGCACACTGATAAATGGTGATAAGGCAGTAATTAAAATCAATAAGAATTAAACATGGAAATGAAAAAGATAAAACACAAGTCCGGAAATTTCAAACGGAAAAAGCAAAACCACCTGTGACTGAGTGAAAATTTCGGAGTAAGTCCTTTGGTAAAATCAAATCGCATTCCCTCGAAAAATTCTGGCTTCAAGGACACTGCCAAAATATATTTAAGCAATTCAACATCCTGAATCAGTAAAACAAAAAACCATCCCCCCTTACAACAGCCATTCGTCTAGTCATACAAATTTCAACATGGCATTCCTTCACTCATAAGAATCACACAGAAAATGCAATGAAAACAGCTAAAGTTTCTTTCTATCTTTTTTTCAGTGGCAAGAGGTACAACATGATCTAATAATTAAAACGGAAAACAAGCTTGCTCAAATGTTGAGCAACAATTGGAACTGCATTTGAAGTTTACAAGAGGCAATGTTTTCAAGGCAGCCTGCCCAAAATTATACAAATTTTGGTAAATCCTAAAGCCATATCAAGTAATCCATAAATCATTGAATTGCCCTAAAACCTCATGTACTTCATGGTTTGCTTTTTGAAAATGCTTATATTGATTTCCATAAGGTCTTTAGCTCAAAGACTTGTGAATTTTTTCCCTGAATCAAGCCTTATAGATTTCACTTATACAAGTTTTGTAGTACTTGCACAAAGAAAAAGAAAGAAAACAAAACTCAAGGCAACTTTAGCTTCCAGAAAAAAATATAAACACTTCTACAATTATACCCAAACAATCCCCACCAGTGTACTTTTTGGGGCCGATCATACTTCCCTTGGATTCCACAATGTCACTGGCACATCAAACTTTTCAGTACAAAACCCAAATTCCCAAATCACTCATACTTCACTAGGAGTATGAAATTTATAAATCTGTTTCATCCTCAATCTACTTACAAAAACTTCAATATGAAAAGAACAAACAGTGGCAATTGGACAACAATGGAGTTTATTTAGAGTTCCAAAATCATGATTAAACACGTAAACGGACAAAACCACACTTTCTGATTCGAATATAAATAAATATACTTACAATCAACAATTCTTAAAAATAATAATAATAAATAATAAAATATAAATTAAAATTAAAAAATTGGGAGCACACACAAACATACATACATATATGTGTGTGTGTGTGTGTGTGTGTGTGTGTGTGGTGATTAATTGAATGATACTAACTGAGAGCTTCGCGGTGGATTTCTTCGTAGGGAATAGGGCAAGGAAGACTCATGTAGTCGACTTTCTCTGGTTGGACCGAGGTCGGCTTGGAAGCCGTCGGCATAGTAGCAGTAGGAGGGACGAAAGTGGCCATTGCTAGGTTTTGTTTGATAATAGAGAGAGAAAGTTCAAATTCGAAGAAGAAGAATAAATAGAACTCAGCTTGCTTCTTCTTCTTCTTCCGCAGTTGATGGTTTTTGGAGGAATAGAGAGAAAGAGGAGAAGAAAAACCCTCCCCAAAAATACCGAAACCCCTAGGCCCAGTTTGGTTAAGAGTCTTAAGACCATTGCCTTTTTTTTTTTCCTTTTTTTTTAATATCTATTTGGTTAGTTTTTTTATTTCTATTTTTTACTTTTTTACCAAATAATACTATTCCCTTCCATCCCCTTGGATTCACCAAAAAAAAAAAAGGAGAAAGAAAAAGAGGTTAAATTGTACTTACACGAGGTATTGGTCATAAGCTGTGAGGTTTTAGAAATGTGCATTAATATCCCTCCATGCGTCTCAAAACATGTGAAATTATAGTTTAAGCTTTTAATCTGTCAACGACTCTATTTAAATCATAAAATTATAAATTTATTCTCTTAATTAAATTTAATGGACCAGACTATTTTTTTCATCTCTTCTATACATATAAATATAATTTATATATAATAATACTTATACCACCATAACCACTACCAATCTACCACAACATAAAACTAAAAAAAGAAAAAGAAAAAAGAAAATTAAAATTTTTTTTTTTTAAATAGCGAAGTACAACACCATAATCACCGTCACCACATCCAAACACCACAGTAGAAAAAATAAATAAATAAATAGTCATGGCCAAACCATACTTATACGTTCCAAACGTCACCAGAACCACCACCACTGCCGCACCAAGACCACCAACACACCACTACCAAAACCACTGCCACCACCACCACCACAACAGAAAAAATAATTAATTTTTCTTTTAAACACCTTGATAATCTAGATATCACCACAACCACATCTAAACAATACCACAACGACCACCACTAGAGTTGAAGAAAAAATAAAAACAGTCATGGCCAGCCAGACCCACCACAATAGAAAAAAAAATAAATAAATAAATAAATTAAAATTGAAAACAGCAATGGCTCTTTTTATCTCACTGTTCCCACCAAATCTCTTATCTTCTTTTTACACCTATTTTCCTTCCCTTACTCATCTCAATTACAAATCCAACACCGCCACAACCACAACACTGCAACATTTTCTCCCCAGTTTATATGAATTAACTTGCCCTAGCCACCATCTCCTCCATCGCCAAGTTATGTTTCCCTCCATCAGACACCGGTACATAGCTCCTCCACTGGTGAAAAGAATGATGAGGGGTCCAATTTACCCACAAAAATAAATAAATTAACATGGTAAGAAAGAGGGGAATGAGAGAGATTGGGGAAAGAGAGGAGTGTCCACAGCTAGTTACTAAAATGAACCAAAAAATAAATAAAAAATAAAATTAGTTAGAGATTAAGGTAGAGAAAGAGTCTTAATGATGAGAGTAGTTTTATCAATTAACATGTATCATATTTTATAAATTAATTGAATTAAATAATAAAGGATAAATATGACATTTGAAATCATATGGGTGTCATTGTTAAAAAAGTCGTTGACTCACATATGAGTGTCATTAACCGAAACCTCAGTATCAATGCAATTTACCCAAATAAAATCCATATGTGCTCATTGGTGTGAATTACGCAATGCTAAAAAAAACTTAAACACAAATATATATATATATATATATATGTTATTTATTATAGCTTTTTTTTTTTAAACAACAAGTGAGTTGACTAGTTAGGCACGCAAAGCCATTCATAAATTAAGTCACACAATCCTTCTCAACAGGTGTCGCTTTCACGCTCTGAACATATTCTCGGCCAAATTATCACTGTTTATAACTTAATTCGACTTAATTCTGTCGTTCTTATGCTCCCGCTTTATGTGACTTAGTTCATAAATAGATTTTTATTATTATTTTTATTTTTTATTAGTGCTTGGTTTATAATCATTTTATCTATGTCAATCTTGATATGAAGTTCAAATTTGGAGCTCAAACTCAATATTGTTCTTGACTTTAATGAGTAATGTTCAAGGAGGGTGTGCATAGCTGTGATATTGTTATTATACTTGAGCAACAAGTTATTACCATATTGTATTTGATCCCCCTTTAAAGTTTTTCCTTTATTGTATATACTTGTAAAGTAAGAATACCTGTTTTTTGTTCTTTAGTTACAAGTCCTTTTCTATTTCAGGTATAAATAAAGATGATAATTGTAAATAAAATCAAGAAAAATTATAATGAAATATATGTAACTCTTTGAATTTTGCGCGGTTATTTTGATAAAATAGAGTGTAACTCATTCTCTTATTTGAGATTAATGGGAGGGATTGAGGTCAAATTAAAGATATATCTATAATTTTTTAATTTTTTTTGGTTAATCGAAACAAACACAGTTTTAGACACTTGAATCAAAACTCAAAAAGAGTTTTAGACACTTGAATCTAAATCTCTCTGTTCTGATTTATAAAACTGTCTAAAAAAAAATTTTAAAAAATTAACCGTCTAAAAAATGAGGCTTGAATTTCTTACCTCTCCGAAGTAGGAATTTAGTATCACTGGATCACTGATATATGTAGCTTAAAATATGATAATAGTGACAACATAAAATAGTAAAAGCATCCATACACTCGATGTAATGAAATACCCATTTAGTTTATTTATAATGAATACTTCTTAAATACTTGTTATATTTATTTTATTTACTGTTCAAAGTTAGACCATTGACTAAATTCTAAGAATCATTGGAAAAAAAGTAGTTATGAGCAATAGTTTTTCAGAGTAGAAAGCAATATATATTCATTCGTTAATGGAGAGGTGTTAAATATGCTATGAAAAACAGAAGGATTTTTTTATTAAAAAAAATAAATAAATAAAATACTTTACACAATTTGTAAAATGTGTGTGAATATTTACCTTAGTAAAAAAAAAAAATTAATCAGGATAACTCATTAAAAATTTGGGCGAATCATAAACTCGGGAAAAAAAATACTTTACACAATGTGTGAAATGTTTGCACATATTTATCTTAATAAAAAAATTTTGAAACACAAATCAGCACACCTCATTAGATATTTGGACGAATCGTAAACTCAAATGTCCTGAATTTGACTCTTTAAATAATGCCAATTTTACCTTGTAAGGTCCAAGGACTAGTGGTTGGAAGTTTTCCATTTCAATATTTAAAAAAAAAAAAGAAAAAAAAGAAAACTCATTCGGAATTTGGGCTACACAGTGGGTCGGCTTGGATTCCGAAGCCCAGAGAACATATGGTTTCATAAACGGATCTTAGCAAGCCCATCAAAATTCCAATTATTATGATTTACGACGAAACCTCTTTTCCTCTTTCTTCTTTTCCATTGAAGGAGCAGAAGAAAACAATAACAACCTAAATTCTGTTCTAGCTTCTACAACTGGTACGCTTCGATTCATATTCCTACATATACATATATGTCTATATATATACATACATATAAATATATATATATGTATTTATGGTTGTACTATTCTACTTTGTCACTGGGTTCAAACTGATCTATACTGCTATTACTACCACTGATGCTACTTTGTTGTTTACTCATCTATTAGTCTTCTTTCACGTCTTCAATAATCAATTCGAATTCTAAGGACTTTTTTTTATATATATATTTTTTATTGTTTTATGGTGATGCAAAATTGTGAAAGAAAGAATTGAAGTAGAACGGTGTGTACTTATATGCTTGTATTATAAATATGCGTGTATATAAAATATTGTTATGCATAAATTCGACAATTTTGTAACTATAAACTGGGTTGGTTTTCCGAAAAGGGGTGTCTTTCTTTGTATGGGTGCTATTTAAATTTTGCTGGTAATTGTTGTTCCACAACTATACCTGTGAATTTTATTCGTTGGGATCATTCAGAAGCTTAGCCTTGAAACATAGTTTCGGTAGGAAGCTTTGAACCCTAGTCGATTATTTTATGTTTGTGTATTCGATATAATTATGTACTACGTATATAGCTTGCAAATGCATACTTCTGTGATTGTCATTTTTTTCCTCTCTTAAGACAGTGGTTTAACTGTCCAAATTCTGAGTACTGAATTGTGGAAATAAAAAGCAAGGAGAAGGAGAAATTTAATCTTGGATGAAGCTGCACTTGAAGACATAATTTGGCGGCAGACGAATATACCATGAAAAGGCTGCCCCGGTTATGGAGTTTGGGAAAAGCCTAAAACAATGTCAACAGATCTCAATGAATGCAATAGGATTTATGGCACCCATAATCAAGTAATGAAGAGACAGTGAATAATGAATGAATTATGAATGGCTTCCTCAACCTGCTCATAGTTGATTTGCCAATTTGAAGGGTTCATTTTTTGGGCATTTATTCAAAGTTCAAACTAAGAAATAGCCCGGAGCATGCCTAGTCGATCTAATATTATTTGGACTTTATCCACGAAAGACCTGCCATACCCCTGCAGTAGAGGCTCAAATATATTGACGTCCTGATTATCTATATGCTTCCCAAAATACAATAAATTCTTCTGATCTTTCCACAACATTAGTAAGAGTTGCCCTTTCTCCTGTACCAGCTCATACAAGGATGGAGAAAGGCTACATTAGAAGATAATGTGGTCCCAGTTTTGTAATCTGCCACTTCCCTTACTTTAGAATTTTGCTGCATTATTAACTTGTATAAGTCACAATGTAGAGTTGAATTATTTCCACAATAATTTGTATGGCATGCTTTTCAAATTCTCAAGCTTATCTACCTAATCATGGCATTAATTTTATTATATAATTTACTATCTTAAAGAATGTGTTTTGTTTTTTTTTTTTTTGGTTGCTTGTATAGTTCCTTTTATCCTTAAACACAATAATTAGCCGACATTCTTCTATCAATCCAGGAGCTGAATTATCAAAATAACAAACTCTGCTAAGTGGTGATGGATCAACTCTCGAATGCCTTTTCTGTACTAGAATTGGATGCTGAAGATGATAAAGTACAGAAGACCACTGTTGCTGCCGCTGATCTTAAAAAAAGTACTAATGGAAGAGGTTCACTCATGTTTTATTTAAGAGAACCCGAGTTCTTTATAATAATCTCCTCCCCCACCCACCCCCCCCCCCCAACCCCCCCCCCCCCCCCCCCCTTTTTTTTCTTTAAAAGCATATAGTTCTCCTTTTGCACCAAAATTGGATTTTAAAATTACATGTCAAACGCGGCTTTCAGTTTTCTGATATGAAAAAGATGGCAACAAATGGTCCTGAGCTATTTTGGATGAATATTTCTGCTGCCGGAATCAGGATGGTAGTTAAAGTATTTTAATGTTGCAGGTAAGGCCAAGAGAAAAGGTGACAGCTCAAAAGACAAAACTTTGTCAAAGAATGAGAATGGGGATCTACAAAGCCCAGAAGTAGTTTCAGAAGAGTACAAGTTGCCCCTTGTGTGGATCGACTTGGAAATGACTGGTAGGCTTTTGGTTTTTCTCATTAAAAGTAATACATAGGATTCATTCCTTTTCCTTGGTCTGTTTCATATATTATGCCTGAACAGAGGGCAGGACACTTTGGCCAAAAGTTGCCCACGTACATCCCCGGTCGTAAGTTCCAGGCATATTCTATCAAAGTCTTTGTTTTATGCTTCAGACTTTGGATGATAGGACACTTTGAATCCAATTTTACTTAGTTAGTATTGGTTCTTAGGACATGAACCTCTCAATTTTAGCATTTATACAAGATGCCTTACCTTGTTCATGCTGTATTAGCAAGTAGAATTTCTTTATTAATCTTATTATTGGCGAATATTTTATGTTTGAACCTTGAAACCAAGAACTTAGAACTCCTTTTTGTCCTAGGTTCCAGAGAAAGCAGTCTGAGTCCGTTACCTGTTTCTCATTGTTGATGAACAACTCCACTTTTGTCAATCAGAGATTCATCTTTGGTTCCTTTCTCCAGGTTTGTCATTCTGTGACCGGACTGCTCCACTTTTGCTGTTTTCTGTTTTTTCATTTTCCTAGATCACTCACTTTGACACCAACCGCACTTTTCCCATTGATTTCCATCAGAACCAGTTACCTTTCAACTTGAACCTCTCTTATCACTCTGCTTGAATCCTATGATTCAGTTTTGGTTATATGGGTTCACTCTCTTTAACCCTTTTTTTTCATTCTAGTTTTTGTTTGTCATTTTCTCTCTTCCTTTAATATATCTGACTTACTCCTTTTGTTACCACCTGCTTTTATTTTTGTGAGAAGAAGTCAAAATTTAGCAGGGAAACAGGAATACTTGTGAACTGTAGATGCCAAAAAGTTGTGGCAACTTTAAGAGCATCATTGAATCTATGATTAACTAACCTTTCAAAATAATCAATTAGAACATATTTCTTCCGAACCTATTCATTTTCTTTAAGCTGTAAATCTTCAAACTTGGTATTCTGGTTTTATTGCTGGTTGTGCTTTTACAAAATATACCAGCAAGGTGGTTTCATCATTCAACCCATCCCCTGTGATAGAGGACGGTTGTGACGGGTTGGCAGACGCATTAGACCTTTCTGTCACATCAATATGAGTTTGTATATATTCAAGTTGGGCTTAATGAAATGCATTTTTTCACTGCCACAAGTTCAAAAAACATGATTTTAGTTAAAATAAGTGATAAAGCAAGGAAAACAAGTTGCAGTCAGGTTGGAGAACGCTACTTGGTACCATATAACCCCAATATTCATTTGGTTGGCACGAGGGATTTTGAAGGATGGAGTAGGCATCCCTAAGGAAAAAATGGGGTATGTCCCTCATTTTGTTTGGTTAAACAAGATTGAAATGGGGAATTAAGGAATATTTTGTGATCTTACTATCATACCCTTTAATCTGTAATGAATTGTGTTGCTTGAAATTGGGGCCTCTTTTTCTCCTTTCTCCTACTTTTAGAAGGAATATGGTGAGACAGGAGGGAGTGACCTTCCTTTCTCTTTCCTTTTCCTTTTCCTTTTCCTCCCCTCTTCGTACTTTTTTATGCATGCATATTTGATGTTGAATGGCTTATATTATTTGCATAAATTGTTCTTTTACTGTTGCTTCCTATGTAGGTCTGGATATTGAAGTTGATAGAATACTGGAGATTGCTTGTGTAATTACAGATGGCGATCTGGCCAAAGTGATTGAGGTAATTTTATTCCATCTCTTTATAAACCGATTCTCAAGTATTGGTGGTTGGAACTGTTCTCTGTTAATTGTATCTTCTTTACTGATTTATTATTGCATCTTCTTTACCAATTTATTACTCTGTTGTATTGCTTATTTAAATGATGTTACCAATGCCATTTCCTATAGTTAAATAATAAGGATCATTTACTACCAATGGGCATTAGCCCAGATTGTATGATCTCTCCTTCCCAAAGGGGAGGTTGAGTGTTCAGCCTTGCTAGGGGCAATATTGTGGGTGGGTGTGCGTTTGCTTGAACTTTCGAAAAGAAAAAGGAAAAAATTTAAGGCTCATTAACTTCATTCGAGTGGTACATATTCTCAGGGGAAGTGAAAATTATTATACTCGGAACTCTAATACCTACAATTTCAATGCGTCTTATTTTCTTGATATTCACGTATACATACCTATTACTTATCAAAAGCTAATAGCTAATTCCAATGTCTTGGCCTAGGAAGCACAGATACGGACACGGATACAACAAAGTACAGATACGGTGGTATGGCAAATCTAAAAAAGAGGGACACAAATGCAGTTTGGATTCGTAAAAATAATAATAAAATGTATTATTATATATATAATTTTTTTTTTTAACTAGGAAAAAAATAGTAATAATTTTTTCTCATTTATCTATATAATCATGAATGAAATTACTAATTTGGGGTTTAGAGTTAGCTGATTGTTATTTTCGTTTTCTTAAATTTTATATTATTTTTTTACTTATAAAAAAAAAAAATTATATTATTTTTTTAGTTAACCCATAATATATTTTAATTTGCATTGAATCCCATTCTAGTAAAAAAAATAAATCAAAACCACCCCGCCGTGTCCTAAAAGTGTCCAAATGTGTCCATGTCGTGTCTAAACCGTGTCCAACCAAAAAATAAAGTATTCAAAATTTAGGACACTTCCAGCCGTGTCATATGTGTATGGGCCGTGTCCGCGTATCCAACACATGTCCGAGTGTCTGATACCGTCACGACACCTTAGGAGAAGTGTCCATGCTTCATAGGTCTTACCTACTGTGTGTTCATAATGTTTTGCAAGAGTAAAGAAGGAGCGGAATATGGCAAATTGTTACCTTTGTTTGAAAGAGACATTGTTTTGTACATTTGAAAAGATTAAAAAAAGTTCTTTTTATGCATTTAAAAATTTAAAATTTGCACTACATCTCGTAATTTCATTTGAAAAGCTTAAAAGAAAAATGCTATGCAAAAATACAGCCTAAACTATATTTTCAGAACATTTTTTTCTTAATGCTTGCATGCAATTACTTTCTTTTTTGTCATATATTTTTAATGTCAGACTCTTATTTCTTGGACTTTGATTGCCTCTTATTACTTATTCTTAGAGTTACTAAAATTCTGTGTTTGTGGAACTTAATACAGTAGCTTTTAATAGTTTGATACTCCTCTTATTCGGAACTGAAATAAGGTCTACCATATTTAGGGTCCTGATTTGGTTATCCATCAAAGTAAAGATTGTATGGATAAAATGGGCGAATGGTGTCAGAGTCATCATGGAGAAAGTGGTAAGCAGCTTGTCAAGTGTTCCTGCTTTTGCGGTTGTTCCACTGTCTCTATAAGATATGCATTCTCAATAAGATATACATTCTGGTGTTCCATGCATTTTACTTTAAAAGATGCATGTGACATCATTCTTTTTATGCGGACATAATTTTTCAATTAAATCCAGGGTTGACAGAAAATGTTCTCCAAAGTACAATAAGTGAACGAGAAGCTGAAAAGCAGGTATGCTAAGCATATTTTATGCCGAACTTCTTATTTGTATTATGGTTTTCTCAAATGAATTAAATTTCATGATCTGTGCAAATGGATACATTTCTCGTAATAGTTGTTTAGTTGTTGAAGAAAAATGACGATTCTTAGTTTAACTAGTGTGTGTAATTGTTTCTGAAAGTTCTATGAACAATAGTCGGGATCATGCCTTTGTCTGGTTCCTTTACAGGATTTAGACCTCGCACTTGACCTGTGCTAGTTATATTGTGGTAACTAGAAAAACCTACTTCTTCCTCTGGTAACTTTATTAAGCTCTTTGTTTCAATTACTGCATGATCGAATTCCAAATTTGTTTGGTACCATGTCTTAACTCTAACTATTCAACCTTTGGGAAGGATGAAGTTGTCTGGATCTGTTTAGGTATATAACTTTGTCTTGCATGAGATATACATAATTTAATGTCTGCTTTCTTCTTCTTTGATAATGAATAAGATATATTTCATTTGAAGGCACTGAAAGGGCATCAAGACCTTATACACACAAAGCACACCGAAAGTCTGTCTCAAACACCCCCCCCCCCCCCCCCCCCCCAAAAAAAAATAATAATAAAAAAAAAAAAATAAAGAAGAAGAAGAATCAAATCCCCTACAAGATCAAAGAAAGCCCCAAGGACAGGTGTCACCTACCTCTAACCCAACTGAAGAGAACTCCAAGCACATGTTCAATTTGAAGCTGGAATCACTACAGCTCCAGTCTTCAAGAGATTGATGGTATCTCACCCCAAATACACCTCATCAAAGAATCACACAAGCTTTTTATTTTTTTATTTTTTATTATACCTATTATAAACACACTGGATGTCGAATAAGTTAATTAGTCGTTGAACTGGCGAACACCCAGGAGATTACAAACAAAGCCAAAAAAAAGAGACCACATCTTCCTCATCACATTGCAATGAATGAACAAGTGATCTGCAGACTCCCCTGCTTTATGCACGTGCAATACCAGTTGATAGATTTTGCATTTCTTCAATCTCTTTTTTTCTGCATTGACTAAACCTGTCTGACATAATTTAGTTGAGGAATGGAAAAACTTCTGATGCTCCAAAATTTGACAGAATACTTAGCTTCTTCAGACTATATGCTTAATGGTCCAGCAAAAAGTAGGATTCTGTTGTGCAAGATTTTGCATTTCAGTGGTTTTCACCAGTTGAAATCTTTTTTACAGGATTACATACATATGCTATATAGGTGTTAATGGATATCACTTGTTCAGCTTTTGTTGAATGACGATAATTTCGGTAAAATATTTGTTCGAGTGGGTGTGACACCACCAAGATCGTAAATTGTTATTCAAATTCCTCTTAAGGCGGAATATAAGCAATCTACTAAGAAGCATCTTTGGTATTTGGTTCAACTCCTTAACATCCTAAATTTTTTTGTATATCTATCTTTCCAATACCATTGACGAGTGCCAAGAATAAAAACAATCCAAAGCAACTTCACTTTGGGTAGGGTGCAACTCAGGTGGGTTGAGTGAGTTGAAGAGTGAACCTAAGCTCAACACCCAACGTATAAAATATGAAGCTCGGGCCCAAGCCCAACCCGACTTGTAGCCCAAAGGGGTTAAACCGAGCTCAACCCAATCAAATTGCCTGGGTTGGGCGGGTTGAAATCAGATTTTGATAGAGAGGGAAACATATGGCCCTTCATTTTGGCTATGTTTGGTATAATAGGAGGGAAAAGAAAAGAAAGGATAACATAAGTTATGAGAAAAAAGAAAGGAAAGGATAGTGTTACCCTTTCATCGTGTTTGGTTGATTAACGAGGGAAAAGAAAGGAAATGATAGTTTAGCACTTAATCGTGTTTGGGGAAAGAAAGAAAAGGAAACTATTTTAATATTTTTACCACTATACCCTTTCACATTTAAAGAACAAATATATAGATAAGAAATGGTGAGACAAATATAGAGATTGTGCTAAACATCATTCAAGCAAAAAGACAATTTGAAAGAAAAGAAAGGGTTAAAGAGAATTAAAACGTGTCCTAGGACTCGGATGGTATTTTGATTTTATCTTCTATAAAAATAAGGACAAATTTGGTGTTAGAAAAGTTCCATAACTTTGTAGCCCTTTCCTTTCATTTCTGCCCACTTTTTGGAGGATAACAAAACCTATATATCATTCCTAATTTGTATCCCTCCATTTCCTAACTTTTCCTTTAAGAATTTATACTAAAAACAATATACCATTTCCCTCCATTACTTTACTTTTCCTTTTAAGAATTTATACTAAAAACAATATACCATTTCCCTCCATTACCTTTCTTTTCTTTTCCTTTCATTTCTCTCCAACCAAACTGGGTCTAAATGAGAAATAAGTGAAGATTCCCTTCTTCATGACATGGAAGGCTCCAATTAGGGGTGCAAGTTGGGTAGGCCCAACCCTGGCTCGATCCCAACCCGAATTCAGGTTGTGTCAGACCAACCTAAGCCCGACCAAAATCTCAGGCTCAGCCCGTCGGCCTGAACCCGATTATTTTCGGGTCGGTCGGGTTGGTCAGGCTGGTCTCTTTTTTTTTTTTTTTACCCCTTCAACAACCCCTAGGGGCCTTTTACACTCTCTCTCCAAAAAGGAAAATTTAAAAACAGACCCAAAACATCAACGGAGAAACCCATCAAAATCCAATCTTGATGTTTATGCAACAATTAGAGAACTCCATGAAATTACATATGCATACACATACCAAAAATGTCTACCATACCTCTAAAAGAATTTCACGTCAAGTACACAGGGGAGAGAGTTCCATTAAATTGGAGTACACACTAAAAAACCCATGAACTGTAAAAACCTCGTTAATGTGGTTTTTATGGTTTATTTTAAACTACAAGAATGGTGACAACGAAAGAGAGGTGGAGTTGACGACCACAGCGACAAGATGGCGACTGTGGCGATGAGGGAGAGATGAAGACAGCAGTGGCGACAAAGAGATGACGACGGCGACGATAAAGAGATGGAAGATGACGGCGGCTAGGGTTTCTCTCTCTCCTGGAGTGGCAGTGGGTTTTTCTGGAGAGATGTGTTGTATATAGGGGTGACTCCAGCCGTTGGATTAAAATAGATGGGTGAGATTTAATTGAATATTTTAATGTAATAAAATAATACATATATTTATAATATATAAATTGGGCTCGGTTTAAAAAGGTTCTAGCCTGAACCCAACCCGAATATGGGCTCAGCCTGAGGAAAGGAAAGCTGAGCCCAACCCGAAAAGCTGAAACAATCAACCCGAGCCTGAAAATATCGGGCTAGGTTCGGATGGGTCAGGTTAAGCCCGCCCAACTTGCACCCCTAGCTCCAATGGCGACTAGATTTTGAAGCAATTTTGGAGGGTCCACCTATAGAGACTGATATCATGTAGACCTTATTAGCAGTGATGGCATCAGACCTAACACATAGATCCATAATATTGCAATTGATACTCCCTCATACTTTTTACATGGCAATACATGATTACATTCCCCCATGTGACAGCCTCTTTGGCAATGTCACAGGCAATAGGGGATGAACTTTCTCTCTCTCACTTGGGCGGCGACTAGGGTTTGTAACTGAGCTTTGAGTAAATTTATAGCAACCATTAGATTAAAAATAGATGGTTAATATTAATTATTATTATTTTGTAACTAATATTATTATAATAACTAGGGTTCGGGTTACTCACCTCTCAACCCAAGCCCAACCCGAATTGGATATGTTTGAGAAATCTAAATCCAAGCCCAACCCAAACAGTGAAGAAATTACCTCAAGCCCACCTAAATCTCGGTTTGAACCTGCCCAGGTTGCACCGCTAACTTTAGGCAGAAGACCATCATATACCAAATTGGATTGCAGAGGAACCATGTTGAACAGCTAGGTGCAGCTTGAGTAAAACTCTGTTCAAAGTGGGTAAGTTGAGTTTGAACTCGTCTGGTGAACTTGTTTAGTAAACGAGCCAAGCCCGAGCACCATGACTTGGCTCGTTAGGCCATAAACATGTTCATGAACAGACTCATTAAAACTTATTAACATGACTCCTTTATTAGGGATGGATCTATAATTTAATTTTTCACCTCGTCAATTATTAACTTGAGATTGAAGTTGGCTGAACAAGGCAAGCATGAGCTCGACAAGCAACGTCAGAGCTGAACTTGAATACTCCTATCTGGGCTTCACTCAAGCTCAAACTCGAATGGCCAAACCAGCTTGGCTCATTTGCAGCCCTAATAAAAAATGGCCCAACTGTAGAGTACATTGTTAAAGGAATTTATCCCACAAACTTTTACTGCTGTTATTTAATGAAGTTTAAATTAGAGAAGAGGACAAAAACTGCAATGGTGAATTAAAAATTAATTAGGAGTTGATCCACCAAAAAAGAGGCTCGCAAGGCACCAAATAGAGATGGCCCATGTTGTGGCGACCTTGTGGACGGGTGTGCTGTGGGCGGGTGCAAGAGGCACCGGCAGGCTACCACACTGGGCGAGTTACAGGTGCACAATCCCACATCGTCTGGGTGTGAAAAGGGGAAGTGCTATATATGTAGGATTTATACACTCCAATTGGTGCGAGGCCTTTTGGGGTTAAACCCAGGAGTAAAACCGTGCAGGCTCGGGCCCAAAGCGGACAATATCATACCATGTGATGGAGTGGGTCGTTACACGTGGTGGAGCATGTTGTTTGAATGCAATTGTTTCTTCTATTAGTCACAAAAGGAGAAGATTTTTTTTTTTTTTTTTTTTTTTTTTTTTCTTTTTTGGAAGTATATAAGATATATATCATGAGTGGTTTGACAATCTTACTGACCCTTCAATGAAATATCTGGCTGCAGTCTTCAGAGCGTTCACTCTGTCTAACCATATGGCTGTTACGTTCTATGACAACCATTCAGTTCATACTTTTTCAACTCACCTGCAGTTGGGTTGAAATTTCTTTTCCTATACTGGACATTTTTTGACATGTTTTTCCCTCATTGTAGGTTATTGAATTTGTAAAGAGATATGTGGGCACATATACGCCTCTTCTAGCTGGAAATTCGATTTATGTGGATTTTCTATTTTTGAAGGTATGTGGAAAAAGATATATATATTGGTCCAGCCGACCAGCACTGCTAATAACATATATACATCAACACATTATGTCCATATATTCATATGGATGGTAATGGATTTATTTGGTACTTATGTTACCTGTTGTGTAGGCTGTGGGTGTTCTGTAGTACACTTACCCAGAATTATTTTACATGATTGAGGTGGCTTACGGATATTGTTATTGTTATGTGAAGTTCTCTGATAAACACTAGTACTCGTCTCTGCCATCTGATTTTGAGAGCTTTCTGACTTCTGTGCTCTTCAATGGCTCTCTTTTTTTTTTTTTCTTTTTTCTTTTTTTTTTTTTATGACAAGGAGCAAATGATATGTTGACATGAAAAGGAAGAAAGAGGAGGAAAGAATCGAGAATAAAGAAGAGTTTTTAGCAAGAAACATAAAATTTTTGGGTCCGGGGATGAACAATATTTAAGTCAGTGACACAGCCCCATTCAAAACCAGAACCCTAAAACCTTGCCATGTATTTTATTTTAGAGTTAGCAACCAAGGAATTTCCATTGTATGACTAGGAGAAAATGAATACTTCCAAATGAGACACCCTTGCATAAGTACTCAAAATTGTACCAAAGCTGGCCACCATTTTTCTTTCTTCTTCCTTTGGGCTATGAATTTATCCATTTGTCTTGGCAATTCGTATCAGTGGCTGATTGTCGTACTTAACCAAATATGCTCGGCAGCAACTTGAGGAGCATCTTGAAGAATCAAGAAATGATGCTGCTTTTAGATACATTATTCTGATTTAATCATTCTAAATAGCATATAATTCCCTCCAAACACATTTTAATAGTTAAAATACTTTATCATGAATCCATGATAAGTTGACTGCTTTGAAAACTTCTTGTTTATTTACTTATTGTCTTTTATTCCGACACTAAAGTTTTATTTGCTAGATTCAAACAAGTTTTCCCTTTCGCAGAAATACATGCCGGCTTTGGCTGCTCTTTTTTCTCATGTGGTAGTTGATGTTAGCAGTGTTAAGGCTTTATGCCTCCGTTGGTATCCAAGAGGTATCAAATTTACTTCTCTTATTCAATTCAAGTTATTCAGCATTTTATTGTTATCTTGCCCATTGCTCTCTCTCTCTCTCCCTCTGTGCTTCTAAAACCACTTTTCATATAATTTTGTTTCAATTTAAATACGTTCTTTATGTTCACCATCATTCTAATCCACAGATAACAAAAAGGCTCCGTCAAAGGAAAACAAGCACCGAGCCATGGACGACATCAAAGAAAGCATAGCAGAGCTAAAATACTACAAGCAGAATATATTCAAACCTAGGAGTAAGAAGTGACTGCTAAAGAAGAGATTGCTGATCTCGGGTTCAGCAGACCTTTCACTTTGAGCAAGTTCATTCTACCGGCATGCCAACGATCTGCTCTCACTTATCAGTGTAAAATGGTGTATTGAATCAGATAAATCATTATTATGGAATTTGATGCATTTTGCTGAAACCATAGAATCACAGTTATCATTATTCCATGAACTTGTATAACAAAACAAAAGCTTTGTTATTTGACTAATGCACTAAATTTTAGCTCTAGAACTTAATACTGATGGCTACTCTCTCTCTCTCTCTAATATTGTTGTGTGGGAATTGTATCCAAGTGAGAAACCTGAGCAAATACTCCAATGTTTGTTTGTGATGATATTCTGATGCTAATGTTGCTTCTTGGAGTGAAAATTCTAAGTTTCTGATGCTTTGCTAAGCTCTGACATAAAATATTTTTCTCGGAATTTTTTTTTCCTTTTTTAGGTAAAATATATATTTTTTTATTTTTACTTTTTCGGTGTTTGGCAAAAGTCTAGGTTGAGATTAAGGTCAAGTCCATTGGACGGGGGGTGTAAAATAACTCGTCGAAAATTAATAACAAAGTTATTTTTGTTAGCCCTAAATACAATTATTTTCATAAACTTACCTATTGGTAATTTGGTTGGGTGCTAGGTCTAATTGAGACAGAAGCATTTCAATTTCATCACAAATTTCTTTAAGCAAATGTAATTTTGCTTCGCCAAAAGAAATTCAAAAATAAAACAGAAAAAAAAAAAAAAAGAAAAAAAAGAAAAAAAAAGGAGAAAGAAAAAAAGTACATCATAAAGAACGTCGGCTTGATTATGTCGGAGGAAAATAATTCCAACTATTTTTCTACCTTTTAATCATGGGATCAACAATGCACGTTTTTTTTTTTTTTTTTGTAAATAACTCTCACAATTCACGTGAGAGTCTCGAATATTCAACCTTTCACGAAGAACACAATTTTATTAAAACATCGTAACTTCTTAGTAAAAAAAAAAAATCAGAGTTGCTCACTACTCCAGCATTTAGGTTAATTATTTTGATTTTTCATTAGTTTAAGGGCAAATTTCACGAAACCCCTAATACTTTTTTTTTTTATTTATCAAATACCCCCAACCTACTTTAGAAAACCCCCAACACTATGAAAATTGATCACATTGCACCATGTCTGTGATAAAAGGACGAAACTACCCTTCTGATATACCAAATTAATTAAAAAAGCCAAAATAGGTATTTTACCAATTACTAAAATACCCTTGGTGACATTTAAGTCATCAAAGCACAAAACGACCGCGTTTTGTGTGTTTATATTATATGTCCACTAAACGCGGTCGTTTTGATCAAACCCATTTGATGAATTGGGTAAATGGTTCGTATATATTATATGTATATGTCTATGTCTATGTATAATAAATGAAAATCTGAAGCGATCAAAGGGATGGGAAAGGGTTGTTGACAAACACTTACGATCAGAGGAATTGGAAGGGACTAGGTTTTGAGGGTGCTTTTGAGTGAGATTGTGTGTTTTTCTTTTCCTTATTCAACCTCTTCTGTGCTCTTTTCGTTCAAACACTGATCAGTGGGGTTGCTTTCATCTGTGGGTCAATGAAGATTTGTAAGGAGTGGTCTATTCGAGGTTCTTGTCTTCGACTTTTCTAGACAACATCATGTCGAAAGTGTTTGGCTCTTTTTTTTAGGGGCGTGCCAGAGTCTTTCGACTTAAGGGGTTGGATAGCCAAACTATCCTTGGTGCTGACCGAATCTGAAATCAGCCCTTTTGTGAATCAGGCAACTGCTGGAAGGCAAGGATGACCCCTTCCTTCAGGTTCTTAAACGCTTCAATAAAGAGAACTTTCAACACTATATGTAGAATGGATGAAGAGAGTAAAACAAATTACACAAGCATGCATTTATTCCGAGAGACTTAAAAAATAAAAGTAGAGGGGACTGAAGCCAAGCGTTAACTTTTATTTTATAAGTAGAATTCTCATACAGAGTACAAGAAGTGTAAATCTAACACTAAGTTACTCCTATGAATAGTAGTAAAGTACAAGTAAAAGGCTGTATGAAATTACAGAAAATGAAAAACATCGAAAAAATGAAATTGCAGAAGTAGGAAATTGTTGTGGTTGAGGACCCTTTGCACAAAGCTCCATGGTGCTATTTTTAGATGTCTGGAGCAGCAATTAGTAAAAGAAGTTTCCTTTTCAAATTCAAATTAAAAAACTTCATTTGTCTCAATCTTATCCATCTTTTGTCTTTTGTCTTAAACTTATCCAAATGAATCGTGCTTGTGAAATAAAATTGACGTAGGCAATTTATTAACTTTAGGCTCCAATTTTATATAAGAGTCTTTTATGATAACAATATTAAATTATTATCACTAAAAGGACACCTCTCTTCTTCCAATCAACTATTGACATGTGTCTAAATTGAAAATTAAATTTAGAGTGCAAATAATGCCCCCCCCCCCCCCCCCCCCCCCAGCTCTTTGAAATAAGGGTAGACCGAAATTTTAAAGAGTTAAACTGATGGATTACAATTTAAATCAGTTATTCTTATTCGGCCCTTCGCTTAACTAACTAGTCCCTACATCTTTCTGACAATTCTTCGATTGATTTTCCGATCAGCACCTTATTACCGTCAGCCCTTTTTTTATTTCGCTTATCAGCAATTTTTCAACCACATCCTAACTACGACACATTCACTATACAATCGTTTTGAGCACTTAATCAATTGAGGTGTTGATCAAACCTTACCTCCAAAGTGATAAGTAAGTGGTCTAGGTGCAGGATTGAATTATGTAGAGGCTAATTGTGTTTATCCCCCGGGTAATTTCCAATCTTAGCACTAAATTGTTGACATTTGCAACCAAAATGTGCATATTTGGCTGTCAATCAACAACTCATAATTTAAATCGGTCACAATAATCGATACTTCTTTGGTATCCCAAGTGGTTGAGCAACCTAATGGGTCTTCCAAGATCGAACGAAAACTCTTTCGGCCTCTTGGGGCTTCTTAGGGTCGAACGAGTTGCCCTCCAAGGCCAAGTAAGCCTTGGTTCAAAATTATATTATTTTTCAGCCTCTTTTGGTGTCCTTATGGTTATCAAAATCAACACCTAAACACCATTAACCCTTTTCAGAGGCTTTTTCAACGCTTAACATATGTAAAGCTTGATATCTATTAGTTCTGCAGCTTTAACTTCAATGCCAATTTCAGCCATTGTCCAATGAATCTCATAAGTGGGATCTTTGACATAATTATTATTCGACGCCTCTATCACATGAATTTCATAGTTTGGGTCCTTGTAATAGGTACCCCTAGAGGCATTCCTTCTATCTTGTTCTTCTTTCAAGACCTTTTCATATCTTGTAGCACTAGAGGCTAGTTGGAACAAGTCCCGAAATTGTATTCCCTCAAATTTCCTTCGTAATTCAAAGTCTAAACCATTCAAGACTAGACTCACATATTTAGTTTCTAGAAACGCTACTTGGCATTTGTGTTTCACCCTTTTAAACCTACCAATGAAGGCTTCAGCCATTTGTGTTTCGCCCTTTTAAACCTACCAATAAAGGCTTCAGTGGTTTCTACAGGCATTTGGGACAGCCTAGATAAGTCAGCCATCGACACCTTTGGTTCGATCTTATAAAATTGGGTATGAAACGTTTCTTCCAATTGTTGCCAAGTATAGATCGAATTTATCGGTAAACTTATATACCAATAAAATGCGGTCCCTTTAAGGGAATTAACAAATAACCTTAATTTTAAGAATTCATTCGCTCCAGCCTCACCACATTGAATGGTAAACTGACCAATATGTTCTATAGTAGAAATGGAGTCTTCTTCTGAAAAAGTAACAAAATCGGGAACTTTATAGCCTCTTGGAAATGCATATCGGTCTATATAACCCCGGATATGGCTTTCTATATGTAAGGCGATCAACTGTTCTTGGGGATGGTCCATAAGTTTTTTGAATTAAATTAGCCAATTGATCTCTATCAACCATAATGGGTTGATAGTTTGGCTGTTGTGCTTGAGGCTGATGCATATAAGGTGCCTGAGGATGAAGCACATACGACACCTGAGGCTGAGGCACATTCAGCACTTGAGGCTAAGGCACATACGACCCCTGAGGCTGAGGCACTGGAAAATTAAAACCAGCATTAAAATTATCTCGCCCCTCTTGGGGTTGACATACGTGCGGCTGGTGTTGATAAATCGGATTAAGTGGTGGCCAATCACATTTTGATTGGCCCATCCGATTAGTTAGTACTCCGTTGGTGTCTGATGTTGTGGCTGATTAGCCTGGGGTGGTTACTGTCCATACAATGGCTGCAAAAGGGGTTGAAACCCTTGCCGTTGTTGTTGGTAGTAATTTTGTTGAATCCCAACAGGTGTGGGAATTTCTTGTTGTGCATGCAACAAAGTATCTGTAGTATTTGACCGTGCCATAAGGTGTTAATCAAACCTTGTTGATAGAACGGTCAAAGAGTTATTCAAATTAGCCAATATGTTATGGATTGGCTCTAGTGCTCTATGAAAGGTACGGCTAGAAATTTCTATCCGTTACACTAAGTTGTTAACATTCTCAGCCAACATCTGATTACTTGGTTGTTGATTCATTTCCACTTTAGCCTTTTGCTCCTGATGTTGAAGCTGCTGATTCACTTCGCATTCAGCTCCTTGTTCCTGATGTTGAGGCTGTCTCTCAGGCAAATTTTGCAACTGAGACTGAGTAAATACCATAGATAAAAAATGAATTTAAACATTTCTGGTGTCTTACCAGGCGTGCCAAATTATTTGGCTCTTTTTTGTAGGGGCGTGCCAAAGTCTTTCGAGCCAAGGGATTGGATAGCTAAACTATCCTAAGTGCTAACCGAATTTGAAATCAGCCCTTTTGTGAATCAGACGACTGCTGGAAGGCAAAGATGACCCCTTCCTTCAGGTTCTTCAATGCCTCAATAAAGAGGACTTTCAGCACTATATGTAGAATTGATGAAGGGAGTAAAACAAATTACATGAGCATCCATCTATTCCAAGAGACTTAAAAAAATAAAAGTAGAGGGGATTGAAGCCAAGCGTCGACTTTTATTTTATAAGTAAAATTCTCATACAGAGTACAAGAAGTGTAAATCTAACACGAGGTTACTCCTATGAACAGAAACAAAGTACAAATAAAGAAGTGTATGAAATTGCAGAAAATGAAAAACATCGATAAAATGAAATTGCCGAAGTAGGAAATTGTTATGGTCGGGGA